TCAACCCCATGAGATGCTGTGGTGGGATCTTAAGACAGCTGTGCATGAATAAATTCCATCAAAATCAATGAATTGAAGAAATGTTGTAAAGAAGAGTGGGCCAAAATTTCTCCAAAATGATGTGAAAGTCTGATAAACTCCTATGGAAAACATTTACGTCAAGGTACAGTTTTTGGAAACATTACTACATATTGAAATCTATTGCTTTTTTGTTGTCATCTGAGGTTATTTATTTGTTCATAGAAGTTGGTGAGGACCACACAATTGTTATTTATGCCCTGATAAATAAAAACTTATAACTGAAGGAGGGTGTGCTTTCTTTTTCCCATGAATTGCCAAGAATGCTGGAGGGCTCTGAAGTATTACTGAAGTGTACTATTAATCACTGTTTAGTAATCCTGCAGCATTAACATAAAACTAGACTTCACATAGATACAGATCAACACTGTATCAGCAACAGCAATTCTATTCCAGTTTTGGACTGATTAGAGCTAGTACACAATCAGGCCAAATGTGCTATAATGTTGTGGGAATATAGAAAATAGATCTCATGCTGGAATCGATAAAATAGTAAAGGTTAGAAGCTGAAAAATAAAAAAGGGACAGTATATTATACATGGAGGACTTATAAAGTCATTTTAATTTATTTTATTTTGAGACATTAGGAAATAATAAAAGTATATAAAAGCAGTAATTAAAGCATTTAAAATTTTTAACTCACTCTATAATCATTTATTTGTATTCAGTTGTACTTTAGCCTCAGTAGATTTGCCTATTAGCGAATTTTTTTCATTTAGGGGAATCCATAGTTAATTGACTGTAGAAGAATTTTCTCTCCCCCTAAGAAAACTTGGTCATGATAATTAAAAATTAATTTTATGACTATATTGTGGCAGAGGATCTGTGGTCGAGCATCAGCTGTGGATTGAGAGGAGGCGGGCTGAACAGGCAGGTAATGTGTGATTGTTATTACCAGCAGCTTACTTATATGTTTTCCATTCAGTAGCTGCTGTGAGCCAAACAGAAACAGAGCCAACACAACACTTGCCTCAAACTTGAGCTTAAATTTGAACTTGAACTTGACAAGCCATGAATGGCTTAGTGTTTTGCACTTCTTTTATTTTTTATTTTCCTCATTTCTACAGTGAGAGGTTTAAGAGGTTTCCACTTAATAAAAAATCAAAAGGGGGCTCCTGAGTGGTGCAACAGAAAAACAGAAAACAGAAAAAGAATTCACCCTATTGTCCGGAGATTGCACGATTGTCATCAATGGCCGGGAGTCAACGGAGCAAATCTGGGCATGCTCTCTGGTTGGGAGAGATGGCATTATCTCTCTCCCCTTCAGTTACAGCGACACTAGCAAATCACAGACATCTGTGAGCTCATGCATGTGGAAGGGGGTGGAGAACGTGTTCTTCTGTGTGTGTTATGCTGCACTGTGATGCGTCATGAGCAGCAATTTGAAAAGATGCAGTTGGCTGGCTTCACGTAAGCATGTAATTGCACCCTCCCTCGGTTACAGCTGTCATATCTTAGGGGAGACCTAACTGGTGGGTGAGAATTGGCCAAGACAAAATTAGGGAGACAACCAGGGGAAAAAAAAACATTTAAAAGAAACCAGAAACACTAAGCTGTTCACGGCTTGTCAAGTCCAAGTTCAAATGTTGCGTTGGCTCTGTCTTTCTTTGACTCACAGCGTGTACTGGAAATAACATATCTACATAAGTAGGCTGCTGGTAATCACACACAGAACAATCACACGTTAGCTGCTGGTTCAACCCACCTCCTCTTTTCGTCCACAGCTGACACTCGACCACACACCTTTGGCCACATATGGATTTCTGTTGGATATAGTATATTTGATGAATTTTCATCAATTAATTCTTATTACCTTAAATATTTTTATACTAAATTACATGCTTACATCTAACACTACAAAAATAATCTAGACTATACACTGGCCAGCAGACATTAATTGCATCAGAAAGACCAAAATCTGCTCAGGCCTGTCAACGTTTTGCTGCAACTAGAGAAATGACTTAACTGGGCAAACCAGCATCATGCTCACACAAAAATGTTGAAACTGCTAAATAAAACTATGAATAACGATAAGAACCACAATATTTACAAAAACATGTTCATTAATAACTGTTACAACCCATCTTGGCATAAACACCTAGCTAAGTTTAGACATGCACCTAAAGTTTAAGAGATTATAGTTGAGATATTGCATGAGTAAAATAGGAAATAGGATAAATAAATGTCTAAACAATAAAATTATAAAAGTAAGAAAATGAAAAATGGAAAACGTCAAAAGTAGGAGTAAAAAAGTTACTTTTTTATTATGACTGATACTTTAATAATCACTAATGTATTCAGTTATATTTTTGACTAATTATATAAACTGTTAATGTCAGGAATTCCATTGATAAATAATCGTAACTAACAAATAACACCCCACCTTCAAAAAAAATAAAATAAAATCTACAGCACTACATCATTATAGCTTTATTATACAGTTATGGCATTAAATAACCCTCTAAGACATTGGTAGCTGCTTTTGAGCTTTTCTATTTCCTCTCATATTTGTTATGTTATCTCATTAGTGGCATAACTTATAGAGGCAGATTCATTATAAAATGTTTTCATTATCAACAAATTCATCAACAAATTCATTATAAAATGTCTGATGGCCCAACATAGAGGTCAGGACTTTGACAGCCCACTGAGTTTGAGAGACGGAAGAAGGACATTATATATTTTAAAGAGTGTTGTGGCAGCAAGAGCAAGCATTGGCTGCAGACAGAGAGGAAGGGGGTTGAACCAGCAGGTAACGCATTATGATTCTCACCTGTGTGTGTTTACTGCCAGTTTATATGCGCTTTGTCTGTCCTTTCAGTGAATGCTGTGAGCCAGAGAGAAAGAGAGACAGAGCCAACACAACAGACCTGGCAGGAACTTAAATTTAAAGTTGGAC